TATATTATAATGCTTATGCTAGCCTCTTCTTTATTGATGTAATGTATTTGTAATTATTTGAGTGTTCATCGATAAAGTTTTTTTTTGTCAATTAAAAAAAAAAAAAAGAATATTTTGTCCTCTAATCTGTATAGGAACTTTTAGTTTTTACTAACCTCAACCAAGTGCTGTCATACATTTGTCTTGGCTCCTTTAAATAAAATCTCTGATTACGTCTCTACTTGTTTGAGAAATAATATAGGATTTTAATATTGAGTTGAGAGAGTGCTATTTTGTACAGGGAAAAAAAAAAAAATATCAGAGAAGAGCAAATTATTAATACATGCAAGTGTGGGTTTTGTATAACACATGGATATGTCTGTTGTATATGTGTTCTAATGCAAAATGTATATATCATCCCAAAATTTGCGGGTTGAATCTGACTCTGAACAAGTAGTTTTCATCATCAAAGAAGGACCAAACCAAAATTTCCCCTATAAAGGTTTGGTTGAAGACAGATTTCTCCTCAGGAGATGCAATTACACCATTGGCCATATTCTAAGAGAGGAAAACAAATACGTTGATGCAATGGCTGAGCTCGGAGTTGAGCAATATAACTTGTTTGGTTTTCGTTTTCAAAAAATATTTTTCAGAAAATTTTATTTTTTTATTTTCCGCATTTGTTTTTGTTTTTGTTTTCAATGATTTTTTTAATATTTTACGCAATTTCTTTAATTTTTAGACACACCTAACATAAATACACTTAAAAAGTATAATATTTGTGAATTTTTATTTAAAAAATTCACTAAATACCAAAATTACAAAAAAAAAAAATTTCAGTACATTTTTCGTATTTTTATGTATTTATTAATTTTTAAAAATATTTTTTACAAATATTTTACTATTTAGTTACATATAAGTAAGGTGTATCTTAAAAAGTAAAAAAAATGTTTAAAATTTTAAAATTATTCACTAAAAACAAGGGGTGCAACTTGGGCAGGTTTAACCCGAGTAACCCGTGCCCAACCCAAGTTTTTTTAGGGTTTTGGCAACAATATTTTGTAATCTGGACAAGCCTGGGTAGGTTTTTGATGCCCGAACTGCAATTCGGGCCGGGCCTAGGCAGAGTCAGTGACTAACCCGAGTAACCCGAACTTGAATTGCATTTAATATATTATATCAATTGTATAATATATGAATAAAATAAATTAAATAGTTGGCCCTTAAATTTTTTTTTTTTGGCTGGTCTTTGGCCCTTGGATTACCATTTTTTATTTGGACCATTACATTAAAACTAAAAATAAAACCCTACTTTATCTATTCTTTCTTTCCCTCTCTCTGAGACTTTTGTGGTTGGGATGATGTTTAAGTTTGTCGTACGGACTAATGGACTTATGTATATAATGAAGCACTGTTTGTTATATGGAAATATTCAGAAGCTGTTTGTTGCCTTGTGAAATTCGGACAATTTGGGCTAACCCGAGTTCGAATTATGAAGCTTGGTCCGGGCTTGAGTAGCCATACTTGTGTTGATGGTCGGGCTTGAGTATTGCCAAACACAATTCGGGCTTGGCTTGGACAAACCTTCAACCCGACCGAACCTGCCCAAGTTGCACTCCTATTAAAAAAAAAAAACTCAATTTTTTAAAAATTAAATTTAGAAAACTTAAACCAAACCCATAATATCTGGTGCTTCTGGATGACCCATCATCAGAGTCCATTCAAGGAGCTTCGGTAGTTGATATAACTGGAGTGTGTTTTGCCAGAGTATAACCCTTTAGTTTGTTTCATTTTTGCTACTTTTTTCTTCCCCAACATCTAAAAAAAGAAAAAAAAGAAAAAATTTGTTTGCCTTTGCCGAAGGCTGTCTGTGATCTTTTTTTTTTTTTTTTTTTTTCCACTTTCTATGTAATTGTACTCGATGTTTTAATGGAGTTCTTTGCATTACCATGGAAAGAAAAAAAAAATCATTGATAATACATGGGAATAGCTGAGAAATTGAAATAATAAATCAAATGTGGGCAAGTAATGTATTTGTCTCACTACAGGAAAAATAGGATATGGTGGCGTTTTTTTAACGACGTTTTTTTGAACGTCACTTTTATTAATATTTAACGGCGTTTTATAAACGCCACCTATTCTTTAAAATAAAACTACACCGTTTTATAATAGGAGTCGCTTTTAAACGCCTCCAAATCCGTTAGCCTCACGCGCCTCCTCTGTCCCTCTTTGTTGAAACCCTTATTTTGAATCTGAGATGTAATACGCACGCATCTCTCTCTCTTTCTCTCAACCCTCTCATTCTCACACCTTCAAATCTCGCCTCTCTCCTGCTCACCCCCAATTGCTTCTAAACCCTCGAGAGCGATTTTCTTGGAGATTCAGATTCATGCAGGTTCATTTTGAGATTCAGAGCGATTTCGATTTTGAAGATCTCTCTCTCGATTTCAAAGCTCCACCGTCTCTCTCTCTCTCTAGATCTGGCCGGTAATCATAGTTTTATGAGAGAAGAAGGAGGACAGGGACTGGGAGCTTGCGAAGAGAGAGGCAGTGCTTGATTTCTCAGAGATTCATATCGGTCTCTGAGATTTCATCTCTCAGCGATTTCGATTTTGAAGTTCTCTCTCTCGATTTCGAGGCTCCACCGCGACCACCATCTGCACCAGCTAGGTATTGATTTCTGTCTCTCTCTCTCTCATGCTCTTCCTTCCCGTCTCTCTCGATTTGGTTATTGAAATTACAAACAAGTTTAATTAGGATTTGCTGGCCTTGTGTGAAAGTGACCGGAAGAAGGAGCTTTTGCTGCTACTACAGATCATTGACATAAAGATTATTTCTCTAGGTCATCTACCAAATATTTTCAGATCCTTGGGGAGGCTTTTATTGGAGTCTTTTGTGAAGAAATTCATTTTGGAATTAAAAAGCTGTGGTATGTCCATGATTCTTTCATTTTTATGATTTATAAATATAGCAAAGACCGAGTGCTCATTTTCTCGATTATGAGTCCAGAAATTTGTCTGTCTCTGATTTTGCAGCAGTGCTATTTATACTTGGGTTCAGATTTTGAAGCGAATTGGCATCCTTAATGGAAGTATTAGTACCTTTTGTGTGTTCTGTAACAATTGGGTTGAGGAAAAATGGACCATGTTCTGTTGCTCTACCCGTTGAGTTGGTGTGTTTGGTCGAATATTTTAATTGGTGGGGAATCCAATGGGTCACGCCGGGTCCGGTGATAGAGTTGTTGCATTGGTGGGATGGGGTTTCTTTCAGAAAGATAGAAAAACAAATTTGGAAAGTAATCCCCATGGCAATTTTGCTGCTCAAAAATAAATAAATAAAAATTGCCAACAGGGTGAAGCTTAACCTCAAGGGAGTTTTGTATTCTGTCAATGATTTTCTATATAACCTGCAGCATATTCGGTCATGTTATTAGACTTGTGGTTAGGATTGTTGTTAGATATTGGCTATGTTGTTTCTTGTTGGTTTTGCTTGGGCCTTCTCTATTGACATTTTAAAGGGTTGATTGTTTAGTTTCTATTAGGGGTATTCAAAATAGCCTGAGAACTGAAGAATCGAAGAATCGAATTAAACCGGTCTCTTTGGGTTAGCTTGATTTGGTTTTTTTAGTCCATTGGTTTGGTTCCGGATCTTCAATTTGTCAAATTGATAGGATTGAGTTGTTTCTTAATTTAGACCTGATTTAAACCTAATCAACTTGAGAATCAAACCTATATATGCATATATAATTTTTTTTTCTTTTTTTAATATTGACGTGTCTTTATATTACCATGGTTTTGTATGTGATTTCAAAATCCTCTTTTCATGAAGCTTGTGCAATTGAACAAATTTTGAATTATTGGTCCAAGAGTGATAGATTCTGCTTCATGTTAAATGATTTAGCCTACTAACAAGGTAAATGATTTAGTGTAGAGAATAAGAGAAATTATGAGCCGTATGTATGTGAATTATGAAATGTTAGACTCTATTTCAAGTTATTCTTTAAATAGCATGTGTCAAAGTTCAAATGAAATGGAAGTTGATAAGCTCATTGATGGTTGTTGTGGTGAACATGTGAAGTCTCTTCAATTTGAATTTTTGAAGCACTTGGAAGAAGAAGAAAATGTTGATGCAAAATCAGAGACAGACAAATTTCTGTTGGACAACGTTTCTTTTCTGTTCCTTTTAACCCACAATCAAAACAATGTGTAATGAGGTTGGCCAGTTCTTTATCAAGTAGTGAAATATGAAATTGTTCCCCGTACAATAGTTTTTTCAATGCTGATAATCTAAGTATTAAGATATAATTTTTTACAAGCATGCGCAGTTAACATAGACTTTGTAAGACCATATTTTAAATTTGCATACACTTGATAAACACACACTAATCAATATTATATGATAATACAATAGCTGAGAAATCATTGATAATACATGGGAATAGCTGAGAAATTGAAATAATAAATCAAATGTGGGCAAGTAATGTATTTGTCTGGTTGTAATTTGTCCTTTAGTCTTTACCTTCACATTTTCAAAAGTCTCATTTTTTATTTTTTTTTTAACTCAATTCAATAAACCTCAACCCCAATTACACAGGGCTACCTTAATATATATCTATATAATAAGGGAAGAGAGTTTTTGAATTTATGTTAGAGACAATTATTCTACTAAGACATTTGAATGGTTAAGATTCATTTCTAGTTGGGATCGACGGTAGAGATGAGAATCTTCTTTGTCAATCTCCTTCAACTTCCCGCCCAAGAGCATACTTCAAAAATAAACCTAAAACTTCGCACCCACGTGTAGACACCCCATTTTTGACCGACAAAATAAAATATTTAGGTGGCGATTCTGTATCTGGCAAAGCAGTCCATGTTTGGCACTTTTTTCAAAAATCTGTTTTCTCAAAACGATTTGCCGGATTTGGACTCTTTGGTTCAGATTTAGAACCGTGACTGCAAAAGTCGAGTCCGAGCTGTAGTGAGGTCCCCCGCGGGCTTGTTACACCACGATACGCTCATCTCACTCTCTTTATATACTCTCCTCTCTCTCTCTCCCAGTCTCACTTCTCAATTTTCAAATTTCAAAACACCCTCTCTTTCAGCCTTACTTCCTAGCACACCACCGGTACATCTCTCTTCGATGGCGATACATCTTTTTCCGACGATTGTTTGCTGAACCAACCATAGTACTGCTCATCACCTCCTCTAGTCATCGCCACCACTGTTGCTTAATGCCACCTCACAACGTCACCTCTTCCAGTGATCACCACCGCTACTGCTCATCACCACTGTCGCTGTTTATCATTATCGTCGCCATGGATGGATCGACATCAGTCTACTGCATAATAAGGTTGGTTATTTGATCTCTTAGATAAAGGCCAGCATTTCTGGAGAGAGAGTAGGGAAGATGTATCTTATAGATAGAGAGAATGAGTGGTGGAAGATGGAGGGGAGAGAGAATGAGTTTTGATTTTTGTGTGTGTGTGTGTGTGTGTTCTGTTTGTGCTGGAGTAGTGGCAGCGAAGGAGGAAGGATATTTGTCTCACTCCTCTTATTAGTCTTCTTTGGTAGTCTTATTAGTCTTCTTTGGTAGTGAAAAAGCTATAAAAAAAGTAGACTTTGTTGTACATTGATCTGAGAGAGAGATGTGTGAAAACATGACTTGCCTTTATGGTTTTTCTTGGACGGAGCTTTGTGAGTGTAAAAGAATATATTATTTATGGGGAAAAGAGAGCAATACAAGCATGCAATAGAATACGAGACTTTCAAAGATAGACCCCCCCAAAAAAAAGAAAGTTACTTAGTAATATTATCTGGAGTATTTCTTATATATATATATATATATTTTATTTCACTACTTTATTTTTTATTAGTGAAATAAAACATAGGACTTTTATTTTTTTATTTTTTTTTGGCGAACAATATAAATTTTGTAGGTTTATTTCTTAATTTATATCAAGCTTAAGGAGAGTTATTATTTTTAATTGAGTTTTGTAGAGTGGTATAAATAAAATTATTAAAAATTCTTTAAGAAAAATAATATTTTTTAGTGTCTTTAATAAAAAAATACTACACACTTCACTTATTTTAATATGATACGTAGAAATTAAGATTATATTTTGATCTCAATATTATTTATAACGTATTGGTACCTTTCTTTTTGTGCGTTTTGTTTTGAAGAGAAAGTTTTGGAAAATCTCTTTCCATTTTAACCTCAAACTCGAGCAACAATGATAAAATTTGAGAGACGGGCAGAGAGGCATGAAAGGGGAAATCTTTTCCCAAGAAAAACAAATAAAAAGGAAAAGGAAAGAGAAGATTGATGAGATAAGGAAAAAAGTGAGAGGCAACCTCCGTGGATTTGCTTCTTTAACCTTCTTGATGACATATGGATCAATGAAGTCAAAAAAATACAAATTCAAAATTTTAAATACTTGTTAATCAGTTTTGACGAAGAAAGGAAAAGGTGCTACTTTTTAGACTTTTTCAACCAAATTTGATATGAAAAATTTTAAAAAATACAAATTCAAAATTTAAATATTTGTTAATCAGTTTTGTTGAGGAAAGGCAATGGTGCTACTTTTTAGACTTTTCAACCAAATTTGATATGAAAAACTTTAAAAAATACAAATTCAAAATTTAAATATTTGTTAATCAGTTTTGATGAGGAAAGGCAAAGGTGCTACTTTTTAGACTTTTCAACCAAATTTGATTATGAAAAACTAAGGTGTTACCTCTTCCACGGTAGTAAGTATTTTACTTATTTAAATATTATTATAAAATATATATTTTATTTTATTTGTCAATTATTTTATATTTTTATTTTAATTATATTTTTTATTTTAGTTATTCATTTCAATAATATTAACTTTATAGAATACTACGTCAATAACAAAGATGGAGGAAAATAATCTTAATGATTAAATACATTTTGTCTAACTTTGAAGGCTAACCACATGTAGCTCGTGAATGTGAGCTAAGCCAAAATGTTTAGTCGTATGCCTAGTGCATTGGAGTTGAAAAAAGTGAGTCACATTAGATATTTTGACTAACAAGTATTATATGTCTAGTGGGTTAGAGATGCTCTTACGGATACTCACAAACTCTACACTAAAAGGTTGTTGATATTTGGTTAAAAGTTAAAAATTAAAATTTTAATTTATTTTGAGTGATATTATCTTTTTATTTTTTTTATATGTTTTTTCAATAAAGTCAAACAAAGTCAAAAGTCAATATTTAATCAATTTCTCAAAATCACTCAAAGTATATTGTAACATCACTCTAAAATTTTGTAACATAAATATTAAAATGATATAATATGTTTTCATTACAAATATATATTTTGTTGGGTGGTAACAAATTAGATAACGAATTAAATAAATTATAATTCTTTATAACCAAAATAATATTTTTATATTTATTTAAATTTTAAAATTTATAATTCGTCTTCGAAATCGTTCTATTCCGCTATACTTAATACATAAATATCAAAGTAAAAATAACTGTGAGAGAGATATGTAAAATTTATTACAAATTAGTAGTTATATATATAAAATTAGTTTGTGCTATATATATAAAAAATATTATGTAAATTAACGTTATATATTATACAAAGACTTGATAATTGATTAGAATATTTTTTAGTTTGTCAATTCATCTAAAATCGTTAAAATCACAATTTTTTAATCCGTTAATCCACTAATTCACCATTCGATTTATAATTTTACTCTCGCACTATCCAATCGCAGCGTGCAAACTCCGATCTGTTACTCGGGCTTGATGAGTCGGGCCTCCTTATTGTAGCCCGTTTTAGCTCGACCCGAGTCCACCCTCATATTTGGGGATTTCCCGCCAATTTGCGCAGACACACAAAGTTAAAGAGAGAAAGAGAACGGGAGAGAGAAAGCAGGGGAGAGAGAAAGCCGGGAAGAGTGAATTAGAGAGAGAGAGAGAGAGAGAGAGAGAGATGAGCGGTGTGATACGGAAGAAGGTACAGAGGAAGTTCAAGATGGGGGGTTACACACTCAAAGTGGAAGCCCTAAACGAAGTCCTCTCCTTCTTGACCCACTTCCAAGACGCCCAAGACGAAGCCCTCGATCTTCTTCTCGATCAACTCCAGCATCAATCCCGTAATTTCACCTCTCTCTCTCTATATATGTATATATATGTACATACATATACTGATACATATACACTATGGAATTTTGTTAATTATGTGGGAAAATTTTGTCGGGTTTGCAGTGAAATCATCAATACTTGACAAGGAACCATTGCATCGCGTAGTGAGCCTTCTCTTGGAAGCGGATGGTGAAAGCCCTAATAGCAGCAACAGCAGCAGCAGCAGCTCCTCCCCCGCAGCTCTCCGCATTATCGACGCCTTTCTCATCCCTAAGTTCCGCTACGATCCTGTCAGAAAAATCTTCTTTGAGTACGTCATCAATTCTCTTTACCCCCCAATTTCTGTTTCATTTCATTACTACTATAGGTCGCTACTTATTCGCTTCTTAATTTTGCAATGCCTTTTTAGAATTGTATGCATTGATGGAAAAAATTGGAGGATTTTTTTTTTCTACCACAGAAAATTGCTGTCAAAGAATTAATTTTTATCATTACTAGATTACCCCACTTTGGTTCCTACATTATTTTGGTTTCGCTCGATACCATTTTCTCTTTTTAAATTTCGCAAATAACATAAAGTTTTAAATCAACAAGTTCTATTTTCTGTCTCCTGCATAGCTAAACTGAGGGGATGTGTGTATTATTTGTTTTGTTGAATTGGAGGGTGGAAACCTTGGGTTGGTGGAGTTTTGGAACTTCTCTGTACATGGAGCTAGATATCAGACTTGCTGCCTTGCAATTGTAATGATTAATTTGAACATTTGATTAGGTGGTGTTAGTTATGCCATTTTTATTTTTTGAATTGTAGGCATACAGGGAAGATTCCAATTCATGGTGATGCTTCTGCCAAAGCCACTTTATATAGGGATAGATTTCTCTTGTTGCTCCAGAGGCTTTCTCGTGATCAGCATTTTTCTAAGCCTGCATTTGATACTGAAAGATCTCAGTTCGGCAGTTGTGAGGTAACCTGTCTCTCTGTCTTGCACATAAAAATATCGAGATTGGAGACACATGTTAATTAAACAAAGTGTGCTTATTTATGTGTATATGTTGGGCAGATATCTCCAATTCAGAGTCTCATTGGGCTAACAGGGAGAAGATGGGTCATGGGCGTTATATCTCAGTTAGAGGATGGCCATTTTTACTTGGAAGACCTCACTGGAGCAGTTGAAATCAATTTGTCTAATGCAATATCCTCTACATGTTTATATTTTTCCCTTTCGAGAGACTTATTGTCTGTTTTGAATGCTTGGATTCGGGCTGTCCTATAATCTCCAAAAGCAAAAGTTCTCATTTATCTGTGGAATAACTCTATCAAAAATTTTGGAGCATTTGCACTCTGTAGTGTTTGACTATTGAGTTTTGTTTTTAACCTTGTCCAGTTCCTTCAATGCCATTCTGGCATTAAAAAAAAAAAAAAAATCATCTCCTTTTACATGTTGATCTGATATTAATTGATATTTGTAGTTGTTTTTGAGGTTCTCCTGATCTCTGTAATCCTTTTTCCCATTTTCTTTTGCTTTTCTTTGAATTATGATGTTTAATCATTTTTCATTCCATTGATTTTGAAGTTGTTTTGGGGTTTTTATCACAGTTGTGTAAATTGCTAGTAACATTCTACACCTTGGACATGGTTCAACTGTGAATTGATACCAAACTATGCAGAACCTATCTTTCTCAATTGTATTCCATTGAATTTGGTGAAATAATTGATTTTGAAGTTAATTTCATTTTTAGTATGTAAGGGATACTGTATATTAGTTATATGGTTTTGGATTCATTTATTGCTGGGCATGTTATGCTTTATAACCTCATCATTTTCTTTAACATGCAATACAAGATAACAACAGGGTTTTTCTCCGAAAACACTGTAGTTTTAGCAGAAGGTGAGATGCTCTTGGATGGTATATTTCAGGTTAGTGTTTATTTTTTCCCCTTTGCACTTGTTTTCTCTCTGCATACTTGTATTCGATTTTGAAATTTGAAACTAGCATTATTTGACTTCTATTTTTATTTTTTTCTTGAGGATGTATGTAAGGGCTTGTTTATACCTGTATTCAGTTTTTCATATTTCATGCACCTAAACTTAAGAAAATCTCATTAGATCGATACTATTTTGAGTATTTATAAAACAAATTAGTATTTTTGGTGAAAACAAAGATTATCAGAAAAATCTTAACATTTAGCCATTGAATTCCTGAAACATAATAATGTTCCATTTCCTGTATATATTGTGGGTGTGTGGGAATGTGCTATTTTAGTAGGCTATTTTAGTTTTTGGCTATTTTAATAGGCTAAAATTTTTATGTTTGTGAAGATGATTGGATTTTTTTTTTATAGTTGGATGTGATGTTTGTGAGAGTAAAATGGAATGGTTAGCTATTTTAGCGTATTTTGTCTTTTTGTGAATTTTAACCTAAAAAAGGCTAAAATTTTTCTTGCCAAACACCCCCATTATGTAGGTGAAAACATGTGGATTTCCTCCTTTAGAAGACAGAGACAAGTCAATTGCAGCATTTCCTGGACTAGACTTCTTTGGCGGCGGAACACTTGCAAAAGAAGAAACAGTATCCTTATTCTTAGGGATGGCAATGGATAACCTACCGTATGAGTATCCATGGGGACCCAACCCATATGTATGGGTTTTCCCCTTTTTTCTTATCTGTCGGGTAGGGTAAATGATATTTTTTAAATATTCACCGGGGATGGGTCAGGGATGGGTACCCACTAATTTCCCCATATGTTTTTTTTTTTTTAAAGGATTCACAACCAAAAGCTAAATATACATTTAATCTTTTTTCTTTTCTTTTTTTTAAAAAAATTTGTTTTTTTTTTAAAGGTTCACAACTAATATATATATATATTTTTTTAAAGATTCACAACCAAAGCTAAATATACATTCAATTTTATTTTATTTTATTTTATTTTATTTAGCTGAACAACAAAATCAAATACATATTAACTAACATTGTCACATTATTCTTGCCAAATTTTATGTATATCTAAATTTTTTAAATTTATTTAGAAAAATTCTATTCCTATAAAAAAATTCCATCTTCTTTTTTATTTTTTTTTAAATTTTAACTAACATCTTTTTTTTAAAAATATCTCAGTCATTCTATAGTTATTCAAACAAAATGAAAAAAAATGTGATAGAAATGTACACGGTAGCATAGTTGTCAAATTAAGATTCGAATCGTGAATCGAAATGGCCTCGAATCGAATCAAATCATGAATCATAAAGATTCGATTCGATCACTTTTTAGCATTAATCAAAAGATGCAAAGGCAGTAAAGACGATAATTTTTTTCTTTTAAATACAAGAGCCATCATGCAATTCACTAGTATATGCATCATTGCCAAGCACGACCTATGAAGTCAGGTAAGAACAAAAGCAGAGAAACAGTGTGAGTGTTATCCATTGGTTGTGAATCTTTAAAAAAAAAAAAAAAAATGGTTGTGAACCTTAAAAAAAATAAAAATAAAAAATAAAAAGAGATTGAATGTATATTTAGTTTTGATTGTGAATCTTTAAAAAAAATAAAATAAAATAAAAAAATTGTGAACCTTAAAAAAAGAAATTAAAAAAAAAAGAAAGATTGAATGTATATTTAGCTTTGGTTGTGAATCTTAAAATAAAAAAAAAAAAGGGTCAAGTTGGGTTGGGGAATATCTAAACCCATTAGGAGATGGGGAGAGTAGTACCCATGTGGAATGAGAATGGGGAAAAATAATTATAGGGGAATGGGGATGGAGAATTAATATCCACCTCATTAACCTTCATTGCCATCCCTACTTATTCTAGCATTCACTGTTAAATCTTACAGATGGATCATTTCTAGTTCTTCTTTAATGGCCGATTAGTTATTATAAAAGTTTTCCTAAACATTTCCAATAGCTAAGACTTGCAGAAATGGAAAAAAGGGCAGTGAATGACATGTTTGTTATACTCTCTGATATTTGGCTTGACAATGAGGAGGTGATTTATGTCCTTGTTCATTTATTTATTTGTTTTTTTTTGTGTATTGGTTTACTTTTGGGCTGTGTGCAAGTTTATAACATTGGCTAATGTCGACATTGTCTTAACCGTAGAGAAGACTATGGGAAAGCTAGAGACAATCTTAGATGGCTATGAGAATGTAGAGGTGGTTCCTTCCCTATTTGTTTTTATGGGAAATTTCTGTACCCATCCATGTAACCTTTCCTTCAATTCTTTCTCAAGTCTCAGGTGAGAGCTTAAGTGATACTATTTTATTTTGAATCTTTTTGTTAGCGGAAAACTAAAAGCAACAATAAACAACTTTGGCATGCAGATTGCAGTTTGGAAAGTTTGGGCAGATGATTGGAGCCCGTCAACGATTAAAGGAGCACAGTAGATTTCTGTTAATTCCTGGTCCTGATGATGCAGGTGTGTTAAGTTGATCATTCTTGTTTCTTTCAGATTTTCCTAGACATATATTTGTATTTTTTTTTAATATTCTTATTGTCATTTTTAGGTCCTTCGACAGTTCTACCTAGGTGTGCTTTGCCAAAATATGTAACTGAAGAATTTCAGAAGCACATACCAAATGCAATATTCGCAAGTAATCCTTGCAGGTAAAATATGTCTCATCACTTTGTGCATTTATGAGGATAAGCTTATTCCCAAGTGAGGTTGTTCGTCTTGTGAAGTTACCATTTTGTTTGAATTATTAAGTGAATGTTGAGTTCCTTTTATAGCTGATGATGCATACTTTATTATCTTGACTTCAAAATACTTTTCATTTCAAACCAGGGTTAAGTTTTGCACCCAAGAAATCTTATTTTTCCGTCAGGATCTGCTGTATAGAATGCGTAGATCGTGTTTGATGCCACCTTCAACAGAAGAAACCACTGATCCGTTTGAGCATGTGAGGTTTTTTTTTTTTTTTGGTTTCATTCTTTGCTTTTATGTGAAGATTAAAGCTAACTGGATTTGAGTTTTTGTTGCAGCTTGTTGCTACCATAACGCATCAAAGCCATCTTTGTCCCCTCTCTCTAACTGTACAGCCCATTATCTGGAATTATGATCATTGTCTCCATCTTTATCCGATTCCACATACGGTACTTCTCCCTTCTGTTCTGTTATCTTCTAGTAAACTTGACTTTGAGCTCAAAAATGGTTTATTTGGTTAGTATGCCTGTTGGCACGTAAATTTCAACCAAATTTACGTTTAAATTTCAAATACAGTCAATGACACACATAGAGCCTACGATAAGATTGTTGTAGGCAATCACTTCCCAAAATGATTAACTTGCTTCGTTGAAGTGTATAAATAAAACAATGTTGTATCTCAACGACGTTACTCAAGATGCTCAAGTGACACGTGGAGCCTACGAAAGATGACACTTGTAAAGCCTACAGCAAGGACACCACACGGGATGAAACCCCAAAGATCAATCCGATTAATTAGATATACGATTAATCAGATAGCGCTATTATTCAAAATTGAAATGGCGCTATCATTCAATTTGAAATTCAAATTGAAGATGAGGCATACTTATCATCTGATGGCCCTCTATAAATATGGGAACCATCACACAAGATAAGGGATCAGAAAAAATCAAAAAGTAAGAATATCAGAGAGAGAGAGAGAGAAAGAAATCAAGAGCTAGAAGAAAAGAAGCCTAGAGAACTCAAGAAACTACGAATTGTACTTTGTATTCGAGGGTTCAAAACTCATAACAATTTCAATAAAATATTTATTTTTCTTAAATTGTCTTCTGTTATTTATTTTGTTCTTCATTAATCAGAGGTTTTATTTATATAAAATGTGTAATTAACGATCTGGAATACAGATCGGAAATAGGAACCTGCTATTCAAATAATCAAACACTGTTTAGTCCAAAAAACTAAACAGTGGACATTTGTAACATAAAATTTTGAAATGTGTTGAAACACTTCATGTTTTAAAATTTGTGTCTACAAATTCTGGCACGCCCAGTGGGACCTTATTTCTCCTCCCATTTTTTGAAGAACAAAAAAAATATATATATATATATATATAATTGAAATTTACTGACGTATTCTTTTGTTATAGGAATGCTGAAGCAATTGTCAAGAGACAAGCCTACACTCTAGTGGTTCCGAAATCACCAAGGGTGGAGATAGCACCCATCACCCAAGGGGCTCTGGAGCGAATGCTCTTGGCTATCCCAAAGGTAGAACCAGCGAAATCCTGGAAAGATGCACTTCTTTCCCCTATCGCCTAAGGGGCTCCGGAGCGAAAGCTCTTGGTTGTCCTTAAGGTGACTGGTGTGACGAAGAAAGTCACACTTCTCCAGAAAGTTGAAAGTTCAAGAAAAATTATTGAAGATTATATGAAAGTGTCGAAGCAGTATGCAACCGTGAGGGCCACAGCCCGAACAAAGAGCTTTCTAATTCAGGCAAATGAGGCTAATCAGTTTGTAACTATAGCCTTTGTTGCAGCTTCAACGGGGGCAACAAAAAATGTTGTGGCCCAACTATTTAAAAGGGTAGAAGACTCTATTAAAATGGCAGAGTCTGCCCAAAAGAGGGCTTCTTTTGAAAACATGGCCATCATTAGGGCCATTGGGAGGAGGGTAATGACCCAAACTCCTGTTGATGGAAAAAAGGCCCCTGTTGTTGAAAAAATAGTTGCGGCCTACGAACCAATAGTTCTGTTCAGAGCACAAAATCGGTCAAACCAAATTTCAGTCAACTCTCAGGAGCCAAAGGAACACTCATTGGCTCGACAGGGTTCAAATAAGGAACACCCGTTGGCCCGACAAGGTTCGAATAAGAAACACCTGTTGGCCCGACGGGATTTGAATCAACATCAATTGGTTCGCCCTAAAAATGTAGGGACTGTTTTGAAAATTCATGAGGAATTTGTAAAAACACAACCAGTTCCTTCTATGCCCTTAGGGGCTCGACTTGATATGTCATCAAATGGTCCCGTTTCGAAAAGACAGAGGCGAAGAAGAAATAAGGCCTTAAAGAAACTGGAATTAAGAATAGTGGCAACAAATGCTATAGGAGCTATTGAAAGGGCTCTCTTGAAAGATGAATGCTAAAAACAAATTGAAAGTCCTGTTTTTGTTGGAAAGTCCTGTTTTTGTTGGAAAGTCAAAGGTGGAGGAGGGTAAGCAACCCTTGGGAAATATTTCTACTTTGATTGAACTATCTATGGAGGGAATAAGAAAAGGGCTTGTAACGAGGTCCATAACTCGTGAGGCTCAAAACAACGCATCGCAGTCAGATGCTTCAAATATGAGTAATGTTGTGGGGGTTGATAATTCTTTGTACAAACAAGATGATTCTATCTCGTTTGTTTCAACGAATATTGGAAACAATGAATTGAGAGATATCAACAAAGTCGCAGTTATGAGGATTGAGGTTGAGAAAGAAGGTGAAAAGTAGGTCCAACAAGACTAAGGTCTCAAGAAAAAAATGGTGGCCCTACAAGAACAATTTGAGAGAAGAGAACGGGAAATGGCTGCTACGTTGGAGCAAATGCAACAGTTGCAGGCCCAAATGGCAGGGACAGGAAGTGCACCAAACAAATGGCACAACCTGTTGTGGGGACATCCGTAGGCATACCAAGCACACTAGCCCCAGGGGGCAATGGTCCTTGTTACGCTGATCTAAGCAGCGGTGGTATGAATCCAATACTTATGGCCATGATTGATGATATGGTGAGGAGACAAGTAAAGAAAGTCAAAGAAAAAGATGATGAGAACTTTCGAATAATTACAAAACCTTACCCAGCATGGGTAGATGCTGTTCCATTCCCTTCTGGTTTTCCCCAACCAGATTTCAAAATGTTTGATGGAACAGGAGATCCAAGACAACACGTGGCTCATTTTCTTTCAAGATGCAGGCTATAGCCCAAAATGAGGCCCTGTCTGCAGCTATTTGTCCAATCACATGAAAGTTCTGCATTACTTGGTATGCTAATCTTCCTGAGGGATCAATCCCAAATTTGGATTCTATGGTGAAGGAGTTCCTTGAACAATTCTGCAACACACAAAGGCGAGTTGGAGTACCAGAATTGATTGAGACCAAGCAACGTGACAATGAGTCTGTTACAGATTTCATTGCAAGATGGCAAGCTTTGACGTTTGCCTGTCCTCAAAAGTTTACGCAATTAGAGTTAATTCGGGTGTGCCTTTACAACTTTCGACATGAGCTCTCTATGGCTCAAACTTTTGAAGGATTCAACGATCTATGCACTAAAGCTCATGATATGGAGTTGCATCTAGCTAAACGAAGGAGGCCTATGGCCGTTGAAAGGGTTGAGTCCTCGACTGCAACTATTATCGAAACCTAAAAGAAGGGTCTTGTTGTAGTAGCGGCTAAAAAGCCCAAGGAATTTAAAAAGTTGACCATGAAAAAGAGGTTGGAGAAGAAATATTCTTTCACGGATGATCTGGTCGAAGACCTATTTGAAGATTTGTTAGAGCAAAAGTTGATTGCTCTCCCTGAGGTGAAAAGACCACATGAGATAGGAAAGACTAACGATCCAAAGTATTGGCCCTACCATCGTTTGATTAGCCATCCGATAAAAGAGTGCTTTGTTCTGAAAGATAAAATTTAGGAACTTTTGGACTCTAGATTATCGAGCTCCCTCCTCAAGAGAGAGCATCTGCTAACCTAATCACTATCGACAATGATAATGAAGGTGAATGGGTTGTTTATCAATCAAAAAGCATGAAGAAAAAACAAAATACTACAGTGAAAGCTAGAAATGTGGTTGCTTCAACAACACAAGGGCCAAAAGTTTTCAAAAAGTAAAAACCAAAAGTTTCTAGGAAACAGAAAAAAGCCAAAGTAAGAGAAAAGGAAAGAAGAACCCAAAGAAGGAAAAAGGGGAGAAATTGGTCCCTGATGAGCAGTTAGAGCAATGTCCGCTTGTCCCAATCACATTGGAGGAATTTCTGCCTTCAAAATATCAATCTGTGGAGTTACAAACATACTTTGATAAAAGGAAGGAGAAAAAGTATACTTTGGCCCAGTGTTTTTAAAGGCTCAAGGCGCACTAAGGCGCCGATGGTCTCTTGGAGCCTAGGCGCAAGGCGCAAGGCGAGGCGCGGGCTTTATTGAAGTAAGGCGCACAATATTCGTAAAAAATAGAAAAATTAATATAGACTAATCATTCATAGTACTATTACAATTTTTAAAAAAATAAAAAGTAATCAAGATTCAAGACAAAATATAGAATAATTCTCAAAGCCATGAAAGTGCATATTACATAACATTTCAATTTTCAAAGATCAAATAATCCACATTCAATAAAATAAAAACATAAACACTAAACATCTAAAACATAAATATCCAACAAATACTAATATATGTCTTAACACTTAAAAACATCAATATCAAAAGAAAGGGTAGGTTAGGTCGGTGTCAGTCAATCATCATCCTCAACATCAATGGCAAGCAAACTATGATGGAGAAAGTGTATCAAGTGACCACTTTGACTTTCCTTGTAATGTCATCACTGTGGATGTAAATTTTGAAGAGCGAGAAATACATTTCATTCGCAATCCAGGTGATGATGAGAAAGCAAAAATTGAAGCTAGAAGGGAAGCGGAACATCAGGCAAAAGTAACAGTCTCTTTGAAAGATGAGGGTTTTGCAGCCCATCAAAATTTGATTATTGAAAGAAATCAAATATCTGGACACCCTTTCCCTAATTGGGTTGAATGGGTTTAGTTCCCACGAGGATATGCAGTATCTCGTTTTCCTTTATATAATGGGACCGGTTGTCCAAGGCGCCATTTGGTTCGTTTCCTTGCACAATGTGGAAACACATTAAAAAGCCAGGCGTTACTTCTACGGCAATTCGTTCTTTTTTTAGAAGGATGGGTAGCAAATTGGTATTTCAGCCTGCCGCCTAATTCAGTCCCAGATTGGGACACCATGGCTGATCGATTCTATAGGACATTTTATAAACCATGGCCAATAGAAATTGAGATGTCAGAACATTTGGATGACGAAGGTACATCTTCTCAAACATTTGATTTCATAAAAGGCACAATTGAGGAGAAGATTGAAATTGCCCTTGATCTTCGAGAAATGGACACTTATCACCTAAGGG